AGTGACCCCAGCTGGGATCTGGCCCCATTGACCCCAATGGAGCTGCAGCCAAGTGACCCCAGCTGGGGATCTGCCCCATTAACCCCAATGGAGCTGCGGCCGAGTGACCCCAGCTGGGATCTGCCCCACTGACCCCAATGGAGCTGCAGCCGAGTGACCCCAGCTGGGATCTGCCCCACTGACCCCAATGGAGCTGCAGCCGAGTGACCCCAGCTGGGATCTGGCCCCATTGACCCCAATGGAGCTATGGCCGAGTGACCCCAGCTGGGGGTCTGGCCCCATTGACTCTCTAAGTAGAAGATATTTGTTTTCATCCATTTCCCCGTTGCCGTGTGGAGTCCGCGGCATCTCAGTGCTCCAGGGACAGGATCTGCCCGGGCGCCCGGCAGCCCCGTCTCCCCGATGAAACGTCTGTTCCTGGTCCGTCCTGGCGGCGGGTTCTGAAATGGGCGAATGCTGCGGACGCTGCCCCCAGTGAGGGGGCGTCAGTCTATCCTGCCTCATGCGCCCCCCATGTCCCGAGGCTGTCAATCCACCGCCCTCCCCTCTGAACCAAGCAGAGGCCCAGAGACGGGGAGATCTGAAGGAATGGGGTGCCCCATGTGTTGGGCACTAGGAAATGGGCTGTGGTGTGGGGGGGTTCCTCGTGAGCTGGGATTAGGGGGGTTCCTGGGTATGAACCCCCTGGGCACCATCATTAAATGCTACAAAGGTTTGGGGAGTACCAAAATCTGTCCCCCGTCACCCAAATTTAATCCCCTTGAGCCTCAACCCCCCCCACCGAACAATATTTCACACCTAGTAAACAGACCATCAATCCACTCGCTCCCTAGTGACCAGTAGCCCCTAGTAACCGAACCGCCAATCAACTCCTTAGCAACAATCGCCCTGGTAATCAAACCACCAATTCCCTCCCTCTCTCAAGAGTGACCCATCATCCTTACTAACCGAATCAGCAATTCTCTCTCTAGCAACTAACCACCATGGGAACCAACCCACCAATCGCTGTTAGTGGTCTGTCAGCATGGTTACTGCACTACCAACCCCCACCCTAGTGACTAATCACTACAGTAACCAACATACCAATTCTCTCCCTATAATCGCTATGGTACCAACCCACCAATCCCCTCCCTAGCGATCAACCACCGCGGTGACCAACCCACCAATCTGCTCCCGAGTTACCAACCACCCCGTGGCAACCAACCCACCAATCCCCTCCCTAGTGATCAACCACTAAGGTCACCAACCCACCAATCTGCTCCCTAGT